TGGCTTTTTGTTCCCAGAATGAATGCAGCGCATGCATAGTCATTAAACTGCCTTAAAAACTATTTTTACATCCCTGAATCAGGATCTCAACAGAAAGCAGAAGGGGATGCAGGATTTACACAGAAGTTACATATCACACAATGCACACAGTACACAATATACATGCAGCAGTCAAAACATGCAGCTGTACCATCAGAGAAATAATTTTAGGATGTAAAAATCAATCAGGCCACAAAACAGTCAAGCAGAAAAGGCCTGCATTATAGAAAAATAAAATTATGTAAAGAACAATCCAGAATACTTACTTGTTTTAGGTTGAAAAAGAAGAAAACAGAAAGATAAACACTGAGTTCAGTTTTAACATGACTTCATGCCTTTGTTCTCTTTAACAGTAAATCTGTTTCACTGCTTGCAGATTATTTTATACATGTTCAATAGCCACCTTTTACTGTAAAAACCTTTTCAATTACGATTATTCCAACCCAGAGCAGCTGGTAAGCATTGTAAAGTCTCACTTCATAAAAAGGACATGCTAAGGAATATTGAACGTTACCTTTCACATGAAGGAAAAAAAAGATCACATGCAAAAGAAAATTCAGGATTGTATTTAGGTCTGTAAATGCCCATAAAGTTTTTAAAAGGTTTCCTAATTTCTCCCTATCTCATTCTGTCACTGACATACTTCTACCCAAGAGAAGACATTAACTTTTGAACATTCTGCATAGGTGATTCCTAGTGTTCATCAGGCATAAGTAAACTAAGCAATAATCCATAGTACTTTCTTTCAAGGACACTTAAAAAATAACAAAGCCCCCAAACTACAGAACCAGCCAACATTGTCCTTTAGAGATTCTGACACAAGATGAAAGCCAAGTTCTGTAAGCAGCTGCAAACATACACTTTCTTTGCCTAAATACAGAACAAACCTGAGTATTTAAAACTAAAAAAAAAAAATAAATAAAGAATCTCAGCTTTATTTCATAAGGAATATCTTGATAGCAACCTTATAGCACTCTCCCTAGTGCTGCCTCACATCCCTATTAACTCATGCACCCCAGAGATAAGTGCTAAGTTTTGTTTGGTGGGGTTTTCCCCATTTTTCTTCTTCCCCCCCTTTTTTTTTCTTAGTGTTAGGCCTCCCATCACATCATCATGAGTCTTCATATAGCACTGCCAGTCCCTGCTTCCACCTAACTCCTGCAGACACGCTGGAGAAGTAATTTCCAACCAACCAGAAAGGGAAGGCTACTTCCCCTCTGGTTATCTGGCTTTTTGTAGGTCAATCAGTTCTTCAGTACTTTGCAGGGGTTCACCAAGAACAAGACTTAAGTGCCTCACAGTAAGAATTACCAGCAACCAGCCCCCAGTTCCATTATAAAACACATTACACCATTTTAAAGTAATGCTAAAAGAAGTACAGAAATGCTCTTTCCTACAATTTTTATACTTAGTTGCTAAGGATTAAGTACAAAATGCTAAGAACCAACATGATAAAAAAAAAACAACCAACCAAAAACAATCAAAAACAAAACAAAAACAAAAAAAAAAACCAACATGCTAGCACCTATGAGAACTTCTTTTTGCCAAAACTCACAGAAAATGAAGAAAACTGCCCTCCCACTTAAATGGGTGTAATTTTCTCTGGCAACAAATGATGGATGAGAGCTGCTCATAGCAGCTTTGTGGTATGCACCTGCATGATTAACTTTTAAGAAAAAAAAAAGTTATCTCTTTTTATCTGCCTTTCGTAGTGCTGGTAGTAAGTTGAGAATAGAAATGAACTAATCATACTAAAGCTCTGAGCAGGTCAGAATACAAGGCCACTTCAAGACAAGATTAATCTGACCTGGACATCAGCCAGTTCAAATAACATACAAAACCCACTTGTCTGCCTGCAAAACAAAATCATTCCTCAGTGCTTTTAGGATATTTTCAGTTTGATTTTTTACTTTACCTGCCCTTGACATGTAAGCAGTACTAAATATTAGATTCCTTCCCAGATGCTGGATTTAAATCAGCAACATGCATAGGTTGGAGAATTACCTTAATTTCTGCCTTCCTCTCCCATACCTTTCCTACCTCTGCTCTCTGTATCTCATCCAACTTATTTCTCCCCATCCATCCTCTTTTTCTCTCCTAAAAGCTTTTTATTCTTCATTGTCTAACCTGATAGAAGGTAACACTGTGGAACAAATATTATACCTACTCTGTATGCAAACCTTATCCTCTAAAGTTAAGTTTCTCTGAAAGCAGAATCCAAAAAGCAAGTGTCTCTTGTTAGACTGACTTGGATTCCCTCTACTAGAAGAGGTGTTACACTTAATTTATACCTTCAGCTACATTTCATATCCTTCAAAATTGGGGTGAAATTTGTAGCATTCTAATTTAAGACAGGATTCCATTTCAACACAATTAGTAAAATAACCATTTTAAATGCCTAACATTTCAGATGAAAGTATTTTGCAGGGAAGTCAGTAAGTGAAAATAAAGTAACATAGGTAAAAAAAAAGACACATCTGACAAATCAGAAAGCATAATCACCTCATCATAGCTCTTTTCAAAAACTGGAGCTCAATGAGTTAATACAGCTTGCTTAGCTTTCAGAAAAGAAACCACTTTCTAAGTATATAGATCCTTGTAACTACAGTCCAAACAACAGATAGGTATATCAAACTTCAAAGCTCTTAGTGCTTAGAAAGTACTTTCTGCTTGTCAGAGTGAATACTTCCTGACAGCTTCCCTATTGCTGATGTCTATGAATCACATTTTTTCCTTTCAGATTATTTGAATATTGTGGTTATTTCAAGAATAAAGCAGCACTGCTGCTGAAAAAAGCAATACTATCCCTTCCTTGTTTGCAGCTGCTTGCACTTGTACTTCCCCTGCCTTGGGTACGAGCAGCTGTTACATGTTCAGATAAAAACAATTTTTATCTTAAATTATTTGTTGATACTTTTTCTTCTTCCTGGCACAATGGATGACAAGTAGATGAAATACAGGACAAGACTACTTCTTTATCTGGCACTGACAGTTTAAAGTGACAGTAAAGCTATACTGTAAGGTAAACCTTGATGACATCATGCCAAAGTAATTGCTTAACATATCCCTCTTCAAGCACATTTCTAAGCAAGTGCTTATGAGTTTCTTATGAATGCTTAGATAATAGTGAGTACACACATGACACAGTGGTTTCGTGGTAAACATACCACTGAAATCTTGTGTCCCTGATGAACCCAGACTTTTGACTGTCTTCTGCAGAAGTTGTTACTAAAATCTTCCAACATTAGAGCCTCTTCTCCTCTCATATATCAAAGCAAGTAAGAATTTTCTTGCATGAAGACTGCCTAAATTTTTAAGGCCTTATTTATCTAGCAATTTTTGCCCTTTTTAAAAAAATATCATATGTATTTCAAAACCTAAGCTATTTCCAAAATATTCCATGGACTGGATTGCAAGATTTTGGAACTTAGAAAATAAATCATCATAAGAATATAACAAATACATTGAATAGTTTATATCACGCTTTCAGCTTCAATGCTGAATATTTTTCCCTTAGAACATTTATCCTTTAAGTACATTCAAACATTGGAAAAATGTGGATGCCCCAGAACCAGACAAAATCTTAACCTGTTTACTTGGCAGTGGGGTGGTGGCTGGAAAGAGACAAGAGAAAGCAGAACTACAGTCATGACTTCCAAAACATGCATAAAACCATGAGTGGTGGTAAGGTAGCATTGACACCGCAATTTTTTTGTTGCTTCCTCAGCAAACCCACCCCCTCTATCACACACAGTACTTCCTTCCCACTGCAAGTTCCCATGTACTGCAGCAGAAACTACCTTAACCCAGCCACTTCAAAACTTTTGTTGTTCCAGCTGAAGAGCAACCAAAGGTGATTCATAGTCCAATTCCATTATTATCAAGCCTCTTCCATTTATATTTGTTATATACCTACAGCAAATTCATTATCCTAGAGCAAACTCCAAGTCCAAACTATAACATCCTTAATTTGCATATGAGCTAAACTAAAAGCATTTTTATAAAGTCCTAGTGAGTTCAGAAAGTGGTAACTCAAACTGGAAAAAAGTTTAGAGAGCAAATGGCTGTAGCCACTCTCCAATTTGCAGATTTACTACAGGTATCTGGTTTCTAAAGAAGGCAGCACTTAGAAAACTTAACCAAATAGGTTCACTGTTTATTTCCAACATTACTCTAGCCAACACTGATATACAGGGGAAAAAAAAAGTCTGACAATGAAAGAGAAATGTAAATCTGCATATATTCCCAATAGATTTTATTGCTACATACTTTTAAAGACTCAAAGGCTACTTTGTAAATTTTCAGGCTGGCCATCTGGCTCCCATTTGCACTGACTGCCAAAGACATAATAAGGAAAAGATGGGGGAGGAAGAAATGCATTAGAAACCCAGAAAATTGCAGCTTGTAGTTCAGATGAAAACTCTACACCTGGACAGTGCTAAATTATCTATAGAACTGACACAGAACTTTACTCAAAGCAAGTACTTATTGCAAAACCAATTTTTCAATAAATTGTCAAGGCATTCAATGAAGCATTTAGTCATGATTTGTCTGAAAAACTCAACACACACAAAATACTAAAAAAGTATTTTTTGTTTCCAGCACTCTTCAGAGTGAAAAGTTTCCATTTCATACTTAGGTGAAACTTCTCTAAACATATACAACATTTTATTATTAGTAAAATGTGACTAATACAGTACACGTATGTTTTGGCTCTACCTCTCAAAAAGCAGCTGCTTTGTCTCTTAGCTAAACCATTAAACAAAATGGATAACACATGCTTTGTTATAGACCTCTGGTTTGAACAATTAGAAACTGATTTACAGAAAAAGCCTTAGCAGTTTTAAAAAGTATATCGTCACAAAGCTTAAGGCTCCCATTTTAATAAGTAATAGCAAAAGTAGGATGAGCTAGACAGGCTTAACATTTACAAATCTACTCAAAGTACAACCCCCCTGCTCCAGGATATTACCTCTTACCCTAGGGAAATAATGATGGCAAAGCATACTCTACCCCATGGAAAGCACTTTTCAGACTGTCAGATTTTGAAAGAGTATTCATTTCAACAATCTGGATGTAATTCATAAATATACTCTTTCATCAATCCGCTTCAGGTTAATCTATAGATAAGCTTATCTGGATTTATGACAATCACAGAAGAACTCTGACTCTGCTAAAACAGTAAGTGAACTTCTTTCCTAAAATTATATTAACCTAAAGTTTAAATAAAACAATTCCAGTGAACAGAAAAAACATGTTGTGAAAAGATTTTTAAAAGTATTGCATGTGTATTTAAAATGTCTTAAATATCATGTTTGCAACCTCCTCCCCCTGCCCTAAAAGTATGCAACCTGTAAAATATTCAGGGGTGTTATCTTCTCTTTTTGCTTTTAAAAGCAGAATGAGATACTATTGTTGTTATAAAGCATTTAGGTTTGAAAAAAAAAAAATCATTATTTTGACAACTGAGAAAAATGCATTTGAAGCTCTCTCATTTTAATTAGTTCAGCTACACAAATACCAAATGTTTCATAAAATGCATTACAAAATCCTCTTGCTATTAACAAAAAGAACACAGTGGGAAACATGCAAATGCAATTAAGACAGTGTTTTCCTTATTAGTTGGAAAATACTCTTTGTTATTTCCCACTTTCTTTCCATGCTAAGAACAGCTTTTATAATGCCAGAGTCTAATCGAAGTGATATCAAGAGTTAAAAATTGTTCCATGTTCCTTATGCGTTAGAAACCCCTGCCAACTAGTCCTCTAGGCTTTAAATATTGTTTTGACGGATTGCATTTTCATTTCCAGTCACAAAGAAAGTATTCTTCATAGCCAACGCATAAGCAGATCTTCACCAGCTCAGTGAAAGCCAGATATGTTGTCCCGTGCAAGAATGAAGACTTTGCAGACTACCTTCTTTTTGTTTGTATTTGTACCTTTGGTAAATGCAGCACCATCAATACAGCAAGAACCACTCCCGTTTTATGAGTATGATTCAGATGTTACCATGGGAAGCCTGAGACAACACGATTATGAAATTCAATCCAAGGATATAAGAAAGGTATTTCATTTATATTATGAATTTAATGTTTTTAACTGCTAAGCATTATATGAATAAGGTGTTACATGCATATGTGCAAGTTTTATGGAAAAGTCTTACAATAATAGCAAAACACAATGGTTTCAGACATCGGGAAAGTCACTCAAATTAAAACCACAAAAATACTACCCTTGCTACAGTTTGAGAAACCCACAGAAGACAGGGTTTCACAAGTAAGACCAAAGCATCATTTTTAACTCTGCTGTAGTTACTGTCTACTGCTGTATGAGTTAAGAATGGGATATACTAGTATACTAGCTCTACAACTTCAGTAACATTGTATTAAGACAGTAAGCTTGTTTAAAAACAAGGAGGGCAATTTTATTTAGAATTTCTTTTTTAATCTCAAAGTAATACTTGAAACAGTACTTTTTATTGGACATAACCTGGCAGCATAAACTAGTTTCCCTGTTGACTTTGGTACCAAACTATCAAGTTCTTTGCCTTGTTTTTTTCAGAGGTGGGTTGTTTCAGGTTTTTTTTTTTTTGCAACTCAACAGTTCAGCAGTCCTGAACTACTGTGGAACATCCAGTCTTTCAGCAGTCACCTATATTGTTAACACTTCGAGGTTCTTAAAGGTACTGATAAAGGTTATACCTTGTGGCACTCACAAGCACCCCCAAATGGTCCACTCTGAACTTTTTTTGCTGTGTGCTCCACATACATACCCATTAATTTAAACACTTCAGCAGAAAACACAAAACCAGAGGAGTTAGATCACGCACAGCCTCAGCTGGCAGGGACAGTTAAATACGTCATAGCTCTGTTCAGGCTGCCTCTGACAGGACCTAAATGATACACATCCAGAGAACAAGATACAACATTGATCAGGAATTAAAACTAACAATGATTACCCCAAGACTAGTGACAAGGAAAATGCCACATATGTAAACAAAGTGGTAAAAACCAAGTAATAAATTCAAGGAAGTTTTCATTAATATTAACTGTATTTCTTACAATAACTCAGTCTGATAAATAAGAAAAAGGATAAGCAGCAAAAGATAATTAGTGTAAGTTAAAAACTTCAGCACATGTATAGAAAAATCTCTTCTGTATATTTGTTAAATATTTTTCCCAATTCTTAAATTATTGCTTGCCACTGCTAGACTAAAAAAAGCAGCTACATATTTACATTAAAAAGTGCCTAAGGTATTTTTCAATGATGATAGCTGCCATAGTGATGAAGTAACATGTTTTCATAAACCCCTAAGAGACCACTTAAATGACCCATAATTAGCAGGGGGCTATCCACTCTCAACTGAGTAAATTTTTAAGAAATATTAAACCTGTTAATGCTAACTAGATAGGCACAACATCAGATGACCCTCATTACTAAAACCATTCTAATAAGAATATGCTACTGTGTCAGTAAAAAGAACAATAATGCGTGTAACTACAAGGAAATGGTGCCAACAGATGTGCCACAGACTAATAAAAGTCTGTACTGGCAGTACTATAAACTAGAGGTCTCCTGAAGGCCAACAGTCCTGATTAGGGTAATTCTAGGAATGCAGTGGATTGTTTCCATCAGGTCAGGTCTCCAATGATGTGTTTCATTGCAAAATAATAAATTAGTTCCTTATGCGCAATAAGGACATCTATACAAGATACAGTATTCCCAGTTTAAATCGCGGAATGCACAATCAAATCTCCATTTATTGCACAAAATCTAGCTCCTAAAATATTTCAAGTGTTAACTGTAAGTGAAATACACGCCAAAAATTTCCTCAAACATGCCCTGCCAGAAATCTATCCTGCAGGGTGAATTTAACTCAATGCTGTAAGTTTGAAAACACAGAAAAAAGATTGTTTTCTGATGAAAACATCAGAAGAAATCTGTTAGCAATCAACAAAACGCAACCTTTTGACTACTATTAAGAAAAAGGTCAGCCACCCAAAATGTTTTACAGTGATTATTATTTGAAACCACAGTCACCCCCATCATGAATAAAATATTAGATGTTTAAAACAAAATCTTAATTTCCACAACAGAACCATACAATTAGACACCATCTTAATATCTGGACTAATTTATTCCACTGAATATAGATTATCAGCTTTATAGTCTTTGTGTGTCATAAAGAAGAAACTTTGCAGAAGCTTTAAGATTGTTAAAGTATTTAAATGTAAAATGTTATTGTGATTTTGTATGGGTAATTCATGTCTGTTGAATAAAGTGCAAGGGGCAGGCGGAATTTAAGCATGTAAGCAGGTCAATATTCCATCAGTGCCTTCCCTACATATGCAAGTAATAAACTTGCTGTGACTATAATCCAAACAATCTTCTGCACTGGTATTTCATGGCCCAGAATTTTTGCAGCTGACTAGGAAATACTTATGATAAATTAGTTATTTATACTTGTCCTGGGTTCAGCTGTAACAGTTATTTTTCTCCTTAGTATCTGATGCAGTGCTATGCTTTTGACTTTACTCTGAGCACAACGCTGATAACACACCAAGTTTTTTGCTTGTTGCTAAGTAATGTTTACTCTAATCAAGGACTTTCTCAGTCTCTCACGCTCTGCCAGTGAGGAGTGGCACGGGAAGCCAGGAGGACACCTGACCCAAACTAGCCAAAGGGGTATTCCATACCACATCACGTCATGCCCAGTATATAAACTGTGGGGAGTTACCCAGATCACTGCTGAGGTCAGGCTGAGGTGGTCAGCAGGTGGCAAGCAATTGTATTGTGCATCAGTTGTGTTTATTGTTTTCTTTTCCTTTTCCCCTTTTAGTTTTATATTCTCTCCCCTTGTTATTTCTTTTATCATTAATAATTATTGGTGGTAGCACTAGTAGTTTTGTATGGTATCTTAGTTACTGGACTGTTCTTACCTCAACCTGTGGTATTTACATACTTTAGATTCTTCTCCCCATTCCTCCAGGAGCAGCAGGGAAAAAAAGAGAGGGGAGTGAGCGAGTGGCTACATGGTTCTGAATTACCGGCTGGGCTTAAACCACAACGATACTACTTTTTTTTTTGTTTCTTTTTTTTGGCAGGGGAGGGGGCAGTAAGGACAGGGACACGATCTCTGGTTTAACTTTTGGTTGACTGCAGAAATTAGTCATACGTTGTATGTTGCAAAGAACTCATATGCATACTCTTTCATAGATCACACCTCAAGTAGGATACTGTACTAGAAATCTACACCTGGTACAGATTATGTTAGGCCAGCAAACATGCTTTTCAAATGTCTCTTATGAGCCTAGCAAACTGTAACAATAGAAGTGCATTTGTTCCATTATAAGCCCATGTACACAGAAGCCTCAACTGGCACAGGAGCCACAGTCAAGGACCATATCTTCACATGCTTATCAACACAGCTATGCAATCGGAACATTTTTGCAGAAACCTCTAAGATTTGCTGCTTGATTGAGTTTAACTGCTCAGCTCACAGCCTCAGCTCCTCTACTCCCAACACTGCAAACACTCTTACCCTATACAGACATTTCACGCTGCAACTCCTAAGCTGTTGCCAGCATTCTAACTTGGGTATAAGTCTTACTAGAGCAAATCAAGAGATCCCAAACCAGAGGCAAAAAAAAAAAAAAAACAAGAAAAAAAAAAAAGCCATAGCCTGGATAAACATATGCAGGAAAGAGCCAAGGGATGGGTGATTCACAGGCTAAAAAGGGGTCAAAATGACAGAGGCTGGCCAAGAGACTTGTTTCTCAGGCTTCATGTCAAGTTTGAGGGTTTTATTCTGCAGAATATAAAAAATTCCCACAGTAAAGTATATGTAAGCAGCCAAACACTAAATAAAACTTAGTATCAAAAGTAACTTGACAGCATTACTTTCACATTGCTTTTGTAAATGTACTCTCTGTGCTACATAGAATCATAGAATGGTTTGGGCTGGAAAGGACCTTAAAATCATCTGGTTGCAACCCCCCTGCCATGGGCAGGGATGCCTCACACTAGACCATGTTGCCCAAGGTAACATAGAGAGGTGAAGAACTTAAGAAAATAAAAACTAATCAGGTCTCTAGTGAGCACTCACACAGTCTGTAAGAAGCTCTCTTCAGCAGGGGATCATACTCCTGCCAGGGACTGATCCTTACACGCATTGAAAGAAAAACATCTTCCACACCCCGTAATGTGCTTTTCTCCATGTGTTTTCAATAGCCACGCAGACCAAAAGCATATTGTCTTACTCTGTCCTACAAATGTTCCCCATCAGAAAAAACAATAAATGATGCTAGCTAAGAACAATTGCCACAGTCAACCTAAAAAGCCCCCTTAACTTTAATACATGCAAATCATAGTACTACACACTGTATGCATACTGTAATTCTAGAAATATGTAATTCTTCAGAATTCTGTGGTATTCACTGAAAACCTGAGTACCACCCCCTGCATCACAAAAGACCCTTTCTGATAGCTGCCCATGTCTTAAAACAGACTTAAGTGAAGTTACTGGAAATCAGTTGCTGAATTTCAGCCAATACCTGCAAGAAACATGTTTAGAAACTAAGAAAACTAAGTTGTCCTGCACTTTTGAAGATGTAATGACTACCTCAGAGAATTCTGAGCAACTTTAAATGCAAGGAAACTGTATTTTACTGAGATTATTTGGGTAAAACAACAACAACAACAACAAAAAAAAAAATCAACATATACACAAGTATCCTAACAAATTTTGCACATTGTGCAAAATCTATCTTCACAACTCTAGATATTTGTAAACACTCATTGCTTATATATTCCTTCCCCACAATGTGGTCTATATTATCTATTTTTATTTTATGTCTGCTGTTCTTTCCTAAAGAACTTTCATTTTCTGAAGAACACTAGCAGCACCATCTTCCCTTCTTGCCTTTGAAAGCAAACAGCTCATGTATAGAAGTGATAATATATCATATTAGTCATCCAGCATATATGAGTAATTTAAACATTTAATATCAAAGTGGTGTGTCACAGGAGGCTCATTTTTAAAAGACATGCTATTTCAGATCCTGTTTTTTTGTTTGCTGTTTGTTTTTGAAAATAACATTTGCTCTTACACAAAGGATGGAACAAATACTTCTCTTGACATTTTTCTAAGACTGCAAGGAGATGACAGCGAAACCAATGTACAACCAACAAAGGATACAAGTAAGTTAATTAATATGAATACTGTAACATTTAAATTTTCCCAAAGAGCATTTTAATATGAATACAATATATAAACGATGACAAGGGATACAGAATTAATCTTTTAATTTACGAATATCTTTCATATTTTCTGTGGAAGGTGGTCTTATTTCTGATGGAGCAGGCTGAAAAAAAGGTTAAAGGATACTCAAGTAAACTTTGAATACACAAAGCACAGGTTATAAGAATCTCTACAGACATCGTATTTGCTGTAGAGATTTATCCAAGTTCAATAAGCTAGGCAAGACAAACAAGAAAACCAAAACACACACGCCAGTAAATTCCACAGTTTAACCAAGTCATGATGAAATATGATGTGCTTACATTCCTTAAATAGATTTCTTAAAAGAACTGGTTATTCTCTCCACAGTTTACATCTGATATTCAGGCAGGTCAATGGCTAAAACACATTCTCACTAGCCTAGGTTTCCTACAGGCTCCAGGGTATATTATCCAGATTTCTCCTAATAAGCCACAATGACTTCTAAACATGAAAGGAACAAAGTTTTTGTCTACCAAATAGAGCACTGAGAGACACATTCTGGTATGTCTGTGATCTAAACTTCCAAAATCAACTGATGATTCAGCAAGACCACCAGAGTGTCAATCTCCACCAAAAGTGGAGTTTTAATCAAGGTTAGTTATTACAAAATAACTAGGTTATCAAATCAAGGTTAGTTATTACCAACAAACCCTCATCAAAAGTGGAACAAATCTGTAAGACCAAAGCTTCTAATCACAGAGAAGCAAAAAGGCTGTTGCCTTTGAAAGAGCAACATTGAAAATGATTGTGGAACAATGTCCTACAGTCAAGCATGCCAAACAAGATACTAAATCAAAAAGGCAAATGGGGCCGAGCTCTGAAGTCCAACAAACAGTAAGAGTCACAGAACTAAAGCTCAAAATCTCAATCTCTTCCCTGCAGTACCTCGGTAAGAAAAAAATATTATACATGCTGGGTTGGCTTCCCAGCACTGACTGGCTACTTCTGTAACTTTTCACCGGTGGAGGAAGATCCTATTTTGCTAGTAGTGATAATAAACTACCCAGTATTATGACACCACTTTCTGTATTACAGGGAGTACTGTACTTCCATTTGGAAGCTAACCAAAACTCTCTACAGGAGATCAGATAACAGTGGTGACAAAACAGGATTCAAACCCATAGTCATTATAAGTGTTTGAATATTGCTGCCATACACGATTGTAAAAGCAAAGCAGAAATTACTAATGCTCTACTAATGTCTATGAGGAACAGGACAAGTCATAATGGGCTTAAACAACATTTAAAAAGATAAAGAGTTTCACTAATTAAAATAACAGCTATAAAAAACATTTTTAAAAACTCAGTAAAAAACTCAAATAGATTGCCTACAGTAATTTTATAATCATCACTGTTGGAGTTCTATAAAAAGAATTAGACAAAACAGTAGCTAGGAGTACCACAGAGTACAGGTGACCCTGCCAGAAATGCCCCAGTGCAATTACAGGATCAAATGTGAGCACTGCCATGTTTCCCCTACACGGATTTCTCTTCTCATGTGAATGCTTCTACTAAAGCTGGAATTTAACATGGTCACGGAGTTGCAGTTGTCATACTAAGCCAATTAAAGAATGAAACTGAATTCAGATCAATTCATAGCATTTCAAGACATGCTCAGATAAGAACAGTGAATATACACAGGGAAATTATGCACAATAAAATAATACAAATCTCAAAAGTTCAGAATATTAACTCTTTTCAGAACTTGATGGGAATAGCGTTTTTTAAAAAACAGTGGGAAGGTTATATATTGAATATTAAAGCTTTAGTTAGTTGAATAACTTTTAACTGTCTACTCACAGTAATCTTGTTTCAGATTTACCTACTTGTCTGCTCTGTGTGTGTCTAAGTGGATCAGTGTACTGTGAGGAAATAGACATCGAAGCTGTACCCCCACTGCCAAAGGAAACAGCATATCTTTATGCACGATTTAACAAAATAAAAAGGATAGCAGCCTCAGATTTTGCTGACATTAGTAAGTAATGTTCCAGTTTTAATTTCTGTTTAAATTGTTGTCCCTTAACACTATGCCAAGTTACCGAAATAAGATGTACTTTATACCTTAATAGATTTCATTACATGTATTACTTATTTAATTCAACACTTGTATTAGAACAGGAAATGTGAAAGCCATGCAGAAATCCATGCTGGGCCATGTATACATCTTAATATTCCCACATAATCCCATGCAAAAGAAAGAGTAGATTGCTAAAAATAAAACTGAACTCTGCATCTCTGCCAGTCTTAAATGACCAGGTACTATTTTTCCTTCAAATGCTCCAGGCTTATTTCTTCCAGCTACCACACACTACAACATGACAAACTACAAATTACTGAAATAACATTGTTAATAAAGAAAAAAAAATATAAAAGGAAAACACTCTGGATCCTTGAATTTTTATTAAGAACATGAGTGAACCCAAATGTGGGTTTCATTCATATTTTAACTGTTTACATTTGTAGATCACAGTAAGGATAATGCAGCCAACAGTGTAACACTGATTGTATACAACCATACACATTTCACATGCCATATAATTACATAAATTCAATATTTAGATTTTTGTTTCTTTTGTGTAAAGCTACCTTGAGAAGAATTGATTTTAGTGGAAATAGGATAGAAGAAATAGAAGATGGAGCCTTTTCAAAGCTTCTGTTATTGGAAGAACTTTCTCTTGCTGAAAATCGACTTCTAAAACTTCCTGTTCTACCTCCCAAACTAACAACATTTAATGCAAACCAAAACAGAATCAAGAGCAGAGGAATCAAAGCAAATGCTTTCAAGGTAAGTAAGAGACAATAATTTAGGTAACCAAAGTAAACAAGATTAATAACCACACTATGCACTGTAGCACTAAATGAAATTCTGTGTTTTTGTAACATAAGAAACAAACTATGATGAAGCTTTCCAGTTTTCATTCTCTTTTTAAGGCACTCTGGAATAGTCCTTTGCGTATGCACTCTCTCATGTCCTTCATATTCAAAAATTTTCTATTAAATACTTTTCTTTCTGTCCTACATGCAAAGAAAAACTCAATTCAAAAATTGATGGCTCAAATACCATAGCCAATAAGCTGACAGTGAAATTTCCAAAACACAAGAAGGCCTGTTCTATGAATTTCTTGATACAATAGAATTCAACATTCACAGCAAAAGAGGTTTTATGTGAGATCACTTAACAGACTAAGTGATCTGAAAAAATAATGATGTCCAGTAAGAGGCACAACTTACTTAACTTCAAGTAAGTAACATTAGAATTATCTGTTTTTTCCTATTAGAAACTGACAAACTTGGCCTACCTCTACTTGGGACATAATGCACTGGAATCTGTTCCCCTTAACTTGCCAGAAAGTCTGCGTATTCTTCACCTTCAGGTATTTTTAAAGTATTTCTTTACCATGCTATTACAAAAAGCCTCATTAAGTTACATACTTCAAACCAAACCCGCTGCCTTTTAAAAAGGGTTCACTCTGCAGTTGTGCTACAGCTAACACTCTCCAAATAAAACACTTTGCCTCTCATCTGTATTGCCACAACTATACAAGAGTTCAGAATTTGTTTTGGCTAATTACCATGCAAGAATCTCTCAGTCATTTCTGTATATCAACGAAAGGAAATCATAAAAATAAGCAATGATCTTTTATCAATAACACATTTCAAACATCAATAACAACCTCAAATTGCTTATCAGCTCATTGATTGAAGAGATTTGATTCCTACCTGTCTAAAGTATTCACAAATCAACTCCAATGACAATAAAATGGGAGGGCAAGAGAGATAAAGTTTCTTCAACATCTATGGGGGCTGTATAAAGATGTGTGTTTATGTTTTGTTTTGCAGTACAACAATATTACTACAATCACCGATGACACGTTCTGCAAATCTAATAACACACGTTACATCCGCACACTCATGGATGAGATAAGGATGGAAGGCAATCCAATCCTCTTGGCAAAGCATGTTAATGCTTTTTCCTGCTTGAGAACACTGCCTGTAGGAACATACTACTAGCCACTACTTACATGACTGTACATGCCAAAACTTAAAAGATCATTCTTTTTCCTCTGTTTACATGTTTATACCCTCTTCCTTACTAATGCCATTTTCCCAGGACCTTTTACTACGTTGAAACATGGTTCTTCTCTTAAAGAACTATTTCAAAACACTTTATTTTCTAGTTACAATGTCACCCATGCTTTCAGAATCTCTTCTATTAAAAACATATATATATGCACACACATACCTTCTCTACTTTTCATTTCACCATATACTCTTTATGTGTAGGTAAAATTCACACAATTAATTGGTTGGTCACATTCTTTACCACTACTCTGAGCAATTACTACATCTCATTTCATTTTCAGATGAATGCCAAACACTGAGCAAGCTACAGAAGAAATCACAACTTAATTCCAATGCTACTTTTTTTAAATCTGAAATGAAACTTTTCAGTAGACCTTCAAAAGTGTATTGGATGAAGTTGCATACTAAAGGAAGTTATGTTTAAAAACAGAACTTCTCAATGCTGAACTTCATTAAAAGTTCCTTAAAAACTTGGTTTGTGGAAAATTAAAGTTTCTAATTAGGCTTAGTGTACCAAGCAACATAGCAAGTGGAACTTTTCAAAGACGGGTTAAATGTCCTTTTGTTTTGCTTTCAAAACAACCTGCGTGTGCATATATATACATTATATTTTTTACACAAGGTATTTTTAATTGAAATATATAATTTTTGCTCAGCTGTCCTCACAAGTCATTTTTTGCAATGAGAGCTTCCCATTTTAATACAATAGTCAAAGCACAGCATAGTATGACTGCAAGTATCTTTCTAATTAACAGATGATGCAGACCAAGCTTTGTTCTCCTGCTTTTCCTTGACAAGAAAATGTGACAATATAATTAACAGCAAAGCTGAATTAATGTTCAATATTACCTGTAAATAAGTAAAATCTTAGCTAGACACCAGTGCAAAGAAACAGAACTACCCTTGTATAGCTATATATTTGCTCTTTAGGAAAAAAAATAAATCAGATCTTTAAATTTAAAAGTTCTTTCTATTTTTAATCTAAAAATAATGTTAACTTCAAGCATTGTTCCACTCTAAACCATACAGTGTATTAAAAATGCAAACCAGTGTATGCAGGCCTCAACAGTCAGTTCACCTGAAACAGGACATACACGATAAAGGATACAATGTTTCTAATTACACAATTACACATTTGACATTCATTTTCAGCTTCTCCCCTCAAATACCTACCACATGTGTAAACTCTTCAGATAAACAAAAGCAACAATTACTATTACCACATGAACTTCATACTAATTTTGAAGCTAGTATAGATTCCTAATCTGTAGAAATAGTTAAGCATCAAATGCATGATGATATACCGCTAATACAGAATAATAATTTCACAAGATATTTTTTTATTAGTTATGTTTATCTTGCTTAGCTAACCCTTGATTTGTTAGTGCTTGTGCTATGGGAAATTAAGTGCATACTTAATACTGAACAAACCGATACTCTGCCACTAAGAGTGTTGAGACCTAAGTAGCTTTCAGTCACTTTTTAAGAAAGTATGTCAAGCCTCAACTGTGGGCTCATCTTTCTGGTAAGAGAATGCAATTATGAAGTGCAGGACAAAACTATTTTTGCCCTGAGCCCATTACCCAAGATAGACAAAGCAATGCAATATTTTCCATTTTAAGTTATTTGATACAACAAGAAATTCCATTTTCTTAATATAACTGAGACAACCAAGTGTGACAGTGAAAATAATACTTTGTTTTCAATTTTTACATCAGAAAAACTTAAAGTTTCCAGGTTTCCGCAAAGGTAAAAAATATAACCCTAAAGCATGTAAAAATACATTCCAACTTCAAGCATAATTTATACTAGAAAAAAGCAAGCCACCAATTCTTCCATCACTCTTTTGATAAATGCCTAAGACAGATAAAACACAGCCGGAAGTTTAATACATAAACAATGGCCCTTGACCTTCTCCTCATCACAGATCTTATCTACTAAGTAAAGCTCTTTCCAGCATTATCAGGATCAGTAAATATCATCAAAACTTTTCCTATGAGAACAATTCTGTGTATACACAAATATAGACACATTTATGCAACATATACACACATGTAAACATTCTAAGACCTAACCACTACCACCACATTATTAATTTTGCCTTAAAACGTTGTAGGTACTTTTTTTAAATTACCAAGTATCAACAGTAACACTAATGAAAGCTCTTAATATTTTGTGAGCAAACCAAAGCAGACAACTGCTATGCCTCTTGCAGGCAATAACTTATCTCCTATGTTTTAATTTACTTTTCCTACTCATAGCAAGTTAACTCAAACCATTAAGTGAGAAGGGCTTCAGTATGCAGGAGTTTTTACTTTCTGTTTGTGTGACCAGTACTAATATCAAGCTGAATGTACACCATTCTGTTTTTTTTTCATCTCTCATTTCTGTTCAGTATTTCCAATAAAACTTGATTTTTTTTCATGTTTATCGATATCAGCTTCAACAATCTGCTTTTCCAGCAATGCCAACATGCCCAGTTGTTCACCCTCATAGCAGACTTAAAGCATGTTCAGATCAGAAAATTATTTGCAGACATAAATCCATTTTGCAGACACAGTATTTACTGTGGCAATATCATAATACCTGCCATACAAGTAATGCCATACAGAAAACTTGTGGGACGCACCACTCATCCCTTCAAAAAATCTATTTAAGGCACTACCTTGTGGAATTTCTCAGTAGAATAAAGGAGCAGTAGCAGAGATTAGTAACTGTATGCTCGGTCCTTGTGTGTGCGTGAAGCATTCAAGTTGTAGACTAACCTATTTCAGTAAAAAACCCACAACTGCTGAAGCACAATGTCAGGGAGCATATAACGCAGAGCACAAAATGCTTACAACTGAACATTACTCTACTCACACGAACCTAAATCTACCCGTTTTCTAGGAAACCCTGCCCACAGTCAAATCAATGAGTATTTAAAACTGTTTTTTGCTTAATCCAAGTTATGCATCTTACCATCACTCTTGATAACTGGGAAGAATCTCACTACAAATCTGCTATTTGTGACAGTCAACTTTTTAGAAATACAGTGGTGCCCAACTTTGCTTTAAACTTACAACTGTCATTCATCTCATTCATTATTATTTGAAGTACTCGATCCCTTCTACATTATTCCTTTCTTCTCAAGTACCAAACTGGTTTTACAGTACACTGTAACTAATAGATTCCACTAGAGTACTATTAGAAGCACTGTCTATTTCTACTTAACAGTATAGATAATTTTCTTTTAAATAACAAATGGATAGAAAAATATAAACCACAAATCCCATCCCAAATAGTCTCTCTAATACTGCGCACGGTTACCTGCCTCTACACTTGAAGTCTAGGAAGCGTGTAGGAAAAAGAAATAAATACCAAGATTACAGACTCAATATTTAATATTGTTCAAGTATGAATATTACTAGGGTAAGACTCTTCAGTTGTTTTTATATATATGTTAAAGGTGTATTTCTAGTTACTTTCACACAAATGACTACAGAATATTAAGTTACAAATACACATTCTCCTTAGCAATCTGGTATTTGAATTGTCAGATCTAATCTCTAAACCCTTTATTTCTAAATGAAATCATTACTAATGCTAGCAGAAATAAGGCCTAAAGATTCCTCATAAGCACAAAGTCAACCATACTTGATAAATATTCTCCCAAATTGGTTTGCCTTTCTCAACAGCATCTTTGTCCACAGAAAGAAAAATATGTTTAGACAGAATATTTGCAATACTGACAAACTTGCAATATGTCTTTATGAATTTATCTTCACACATCTTCTAGCAATGAATATACCCCTTCATTGTTTACACTCCATGTCTGAACAAATACTTCAGAAACTGCTTAAGATACATACAATTTTAAAAATAATCTCCAGACCTATTTCCCTTTTTTTTATTTTTGTACTAAATTTTAAAAAGAAACCAGTTCACTGAATCTTTGTCCCAGAAACCACAGTGACTGCTGTTATTAGGCTGATCCAAGCATCAGAAAGCATCAAGTGAAGTTGGGAAAAAAAACCAAACAAGAAACCAACAACACAAAGCCATAAAAGCCCTTGGTGTTCTACCTTCTCTATGGAGGGATTAAATAGAAGTCCTTTTACAAGGACCAGCAGGATTAGACAACATCAGTTTGTTACTCAGCTGAGGACAGGATTCTTTTTTTACTTAAAAAAAGTATCAGAATTCAGTACTTTTTTCTTTAATCTGATTGATTTGATGCTAGAAATCAATGTAGCACAGAATTCAGAAAGCCCTCAAAGATTCAAAAAGTAGGAAACAAAGCAGTTCCCACTTCTTACTACAGCTGAAAAGAGGGTGCTGAGTTTAATGACAGTAAATGCTGGAGCTAAATAAAGCTGAATTAAAAAAACCCACACATAATTAAGCACTAAACAGCCTCCTCTAACATTACGCATCATATTAAGATGCTCTGTGTCTGCCAGACTACAGTATTTTTACTCTAAAGATTAATTATCTTAAAATAGGTACAAAGACAAAACAAACGAGCCAAATTATGGCAATTTAAATGGCAATTTAAAACAAAGTTCATTTACTATGTTCCAGTTAAGAGTGAGGAACAGTTTATTTCACATTCAAGTAAAACACTTTGCCCAAACGCAACCTGCCACATTTTCAAGAGACAGATCCAGTCCTTCAGAATACGTCAATGCCAAAGACTACAAATGTTATTGTCTTTTAATTTCCTCTTTTGCCTTTATTTTGGTCAAAATAAAATGTAATACCAATGAAAACCTATCTTACTTCCCAACAGAAAGGCACAGATACTCTTATTTTCCCCCATATATGAGGAATATGACAGCAGAATGGTAAAAAACAAGACACTAAGCAAGCGCTAATACTCTTCACTTCACAACATACAAAATTAAGATTTCCATAGTCTACTAAAGTGCACTAATTTCACCTCCATTGCTCTGTTTCAATGAGCTACTTAAAGAACTAAATACAGTACACCAATACACAAAAGCTTGATAGACACTACCTTGAAATGCAGGAAGGTGCATCTGCGATGTTCATACCACTCAGCATAAGATGAAAGACTTCTGAAAAACGTTAAAAGACTTCCACATTTTTCACTGCTACAAAAGAAAAATACACTGTTTAACCCAAGCACTATTACTCCGACGTACCATTCTATAGCTTAAAATTTGCACTTCTTCCAGAAATTATGATCAGTATTGTTCAAATTTGAAGCCAGAGATAGACTCCTCTGTCCCCCCGCCCCCAAAAAATTATCACAACAGGGAAGAACACTGTAGTGTAGACACTGAAAATATTGAAGAATTCATTTAGAAACCAATATTTTCAACTCCTCAGAAAGGTAAGCAGTAATCAAGTTAATCTTCAATGCAAAACGTGATAAACTGACAAAATAGCCGCCTTTAAAATCTTAATTTAACTTTATGCTTGTTCATGTCATACTTTTAATTTACCAAATAACTTTCAAGATGTTGCATAATAAAACTTGAACCTACAACTGGGAAGATTTACCAAACTGCATCAACAAGCTTTGATTATTCCTGAGATCTTTGTCCTATTCAACTAAATCTTTACATGACATGTTATATGCCTCCTCCCACATGGCATTCAGCTTCTCAAAATGAACCTTGAAACCAGTAAGCAAGAAGGTCTGTTCATCAGATCATGTGCGACAGCAACTATTAGGACCATATTTACAGATTTTGAGCTCTAATCAAAAGAGGAAAGAGACGGTAATAGCTGGGAGGAGGCTGCTTTGTGGCAAGGGGGAGAAGAAGAGTTTGTCTTGGAGGGGTTTCTTCTTAAGAAAAACACACACAAAAATTTAGTCTTCAAATTTCTAGTAATATAAGAATCAGGACAGAGAAAGGAAAGGTGACAACTTAAGATAACATAAACTGCCAAACAGCCAATGATCCACTCGATGTGGCCAGGGGAGTGAGGAAAACTGCTTGAAAAGGGTGTACAGTTTATACAAAAGAAACACAGCAAGAATGGAAAGAACAAAAATACCACAGAAGCTAAGTGTCAATACATGAAGCAAGGTGATTCTTTCATCATAAGGGTGATGAGCTTCATGGCATTGTTGATATAAAGCCACAATCAAAGGAAACAGACTATTAGCCATTGTCAAAACATACCTGGCAAGCACCACTTTGAAAATACAAAGATTCATTTCAGTTACTAATACTGGATTTCACAAGCTTACAAAACCTGACTGAAGAATATTTCTGAAATATTCAAGCGTATTTCAGAAAGTTACAGAGGATCTAAATTCTACATTTGACTTATAACATCCTTTCTGTTGAACATTAGCTATTCTTTTTGGATCTTCAGAACAGCTGAGAGGGGAAGCTTGAGGCCATTAACACAATGGTTGCAACAGTGTATTACCAAGTCACTTCAGCCATTCAAGGCAGAATTGTGCCTTGGATCCAGCTGTATTTAATATACAAGAATGGCAATGTTTAACATGTTACACAAACATAAATAAGAAAAAAATACATCAAGTTCATTCAGATATTGAAAATATAAAGGAAAAGCCAAACAAGTTTCATCCCAGCCTGGAAAGAACAGCATCATTAGAGGAAGTTACCACAGTAGTCACAGCTGCCAACAAAATCAGGCCAAGATGAAAAAACTACTGGCAGCACAGGCAAAAATTGAACCCATGGAAGGATGCAGACACATACTGACTTGCAATAGCCGAATAGCTTTATGTTCTGGAAAGCTTTTTTTTAACCATAACTCATAACCGTACATATAGAAATCTACACATACTATAATAAAAAAATCAAGACTTAGTAATGACTGCTCGCATCTCACTGTCTAATGAATGTGGTTCTATACATACTGCAATATACTTTTAAAATCTACATACCTAGAAGAGGATAACAATTGTTACAAAACTACATATTTAAAATCCTTTCTTTTAAAACTTGGCATGAGTATCCATTTTTATGCAATTTAAAAGACTATCACAAACCTTATGACCTTGTTTTAGCATTATACCTTTAGTTTGATTTTTTCTTTCCCTTTAGATTCATCTTTAGGCAATATAGCAGATGAAAATTTTCAGTTAGATCATCAAGCAGAAAGACACAATTTAGGCTAAGAAGTTCAAAAAAACAGTTCCAGATGTAAAAGTTAGACTTCCAATTATATCTGAGCATATACTTCTCTCACGTACAGATATAGTGTTGGCTAAATCCAAGATAGAACACTGGATTCACTGTTCAGGAAAAAGGAAAACCTGTGCTGGCATGAACAGACATATGCATTAGACATGCTTTTCTGTATCTGCAAGGGAAAGACTGCCTAAGAGCATCACTTCAGTTAAATGGCTCACAGCACTTAAAGTACCCATAAACAACAATACCTAATTAGACTAAGTTAGCTTAATTCCTAATGCTGAAGCCAACTACAACAAACACTAAAATGCTAAGAGAACTTGGCATAAACAAGAAAGGTACTAATAGAGTGTATGTTAAAAATTTAAGCCTCTTCTTTGTTTTGGAAAGAATTTAGCATTACAAAATGTCACTGGATAAAGAAAAAAAAAATTCCACTGAGAGCCAAAAACACCCATCTCCAAAGCCAACATCCATATAACGAAGTCATCCAAAACCAGCGAAAAGCATACTCAGGCAGAGAGTAACCCTGTATCAGGTTAAAATCACATGACCTTCATCCAAACACTATTTCACTTTTACAAAATAATATCAAAACCACAAAGCTATGTAAGAAACTTAAATGCTGGAAAAGTGTTTAAGGCTCCTTGAATATGCTCCTTTAGCTATTTAAAGAGAGAAAATCTATTTTAACTCACTGCAGTATGCAAGACTTCTTGCACTAACATATAAAACCAAAGAATGACTCTTACAGCCATGGGAAGAAGTCACCTTTCCCCTCATTTCCAAGATACCCTGCCCATGCAGTATTTAATATATATTAAACGCAGACCGGTCCTAAATCTGAATTCTAAATTTTAACTAGTTAGTAAAAACTAGGATGTAAGAAATCATCTGAAAACTCCTATTTGACTAAGTAATCCATGCAGCAGTGAACTAACTCTACAATTAACAAGATATCAAGTGAAAAAGAAAAGAAGAAAAAAAAGATTTTTTTCATATATATCGTGGTCCTTAACACCAATAAAGTGTAACTTAAGTGATAACTGGTTCAAAGGGAACACAAGTAAAATCCAAAATAGAAGACTAAATAATGTGATTCCATTTGCATACATATTTTATTGTTACAACATAATTAAGGAATGTTGTATCTTTTAAAAATAAGTATTCTATATTGCAGCAGTACCTGATTGAAAATAGCCTACTGAATTTTGCTTCTTTTTAAAAGATGTTGCTCAAGTGTTCTAGCATTCCTCTGTTTTCTTCCAAAGCATGACTGATGGGCTTGGAAATTACAACTGAATGCCAAGTTTTTAACTCTGGTGCTCTTAAAGACCCTTTTTCTGTCACGCACTATGAAAAACGTATTTAAAAAAAAAAAAAAATCAGATAACCAAGGAAAAAAAATCCAAACCAGCAGAGGAAATGGAACAGAGCTAGACAATGGATTTGGCAAGATTAGGCCAAGGAGGCAAAGGAAGGAATGAGAGACTGGTAGGGAGGCTAAAAAGAATAAACAATACAGCAAGAATGGAGGGAAAGGGAAGGAAGAAGTAGGAATCAAGACTAAGGGCAGCTGATGCACTGAAGAATAAAGAGCAAGTTGGGAAAAGCCTGAAACTGGACATGGAAAATGGGGATTAGGGCTTAAAAAAAAAAATGTAACTAGTTTAACAAGGCGATTGGGAAAACAAGCTGTAAAGGGAGATCACACAATCAGATTTAGCCAATCTGACAGTGGGCTGTTCTCAGACATTGTGACCATTAATCCCACTCTGGTTACGTATCTACTGCCTTAGATCAGCCACAAACACTGTTTGCAGGACAAGACAAACTGGAAAAAAATTAATTTGAAGGGGCTGGGGAAGGGCAAGGTGGGCAAGGCTGTCAGGTATTTAGAAAAGTAGTCAGGGTCAACCCACTGAGACAATGTCAGCAGATGGTACATGCAAACAGAGCTAAGGAGAAAGAAAGAACTGATTGCTTCATTGCAAAGCCTTAATTCATTTTACATCCCTCATGAAAACTTATGTTTACTTATTAATACCAGCATAATGTGGAAAAGGACCAGGGTAGTGAAGAGACAGGGACAAGGGAGCAGTGCTCAAGCCAGGATGAAATAAGGTCTCCCACTACTTCAATGCATTCCTTTCCAGTAAGACTATTACGTTCCAAGACACTTCTGCTGTCAGAAAAAGCTCATAAAAAAAAAAAACCAAAAAAACAAAACACAACAAAACAGGGTAATTTCCTTTTCTAAACCCTATTTCTTGAAAGCAGTCAACTACTGTTCTCAGTTATACCACCAGCTTTAGTGTATCTGTATGGAAATTCCAAAGCTTCAGCTTTCAGCACAGACTAATGAAACCTGAGCTAACTGAATAGACCTTTCTTTTCACCCATTCATTTGCCTTCCTTCTCCCTCCCAAAGTCTAAAAATAATTTAAAACAACAGAAATCGCTTAGAGAGTAGGATTAAGTCAACCCAATAATAATTAGATACAAAAGATTTGTTCTCAGAGAGATCTGCTAGTAGATTTCAAAGTAGAATACTGGAGACAAATAATTTGATCATTATTCCTTCTGTGTAACAACCTCCAGAAAACAATCAAGAAGCAGCATTCGGTCACATGCTTTTAGTATGCACATTTTCATATGCCATTGCACAAACACAATACTCCAAGTTTTTAAACTATATTTTGCTGCTTTGAAAATATCAGTAAAACAAATCCTGATGCAAAGAAAAGAAACTGAATGGTGAGCAGAGAATTAGAAACAGGCAAGTACTGCAAAGTGGTTCTGGACATACACTTTTAGCCATTAGTCATCCACATTGCACATCTACATCTCACAGACACATCTGAGAAGCAATTAACATGTTTATTTCATAAATTAAAATATGATAGCTGAGATTATCTTCTTCTACCTTTCTCTGAACCAAACAATTTCAAACAGCTAAAACACGTGATAATCCTAAAATTCTTTCCATTTAACATGCATTTGTAACAGTCATTTCCAGCCTTAAAAATCATATGCATTTCAGCTTCTCTCCAAAAGGATACAGACAAGGACTATGAGTTTAGGTTGGGCTAACAGAACATTATCAAACAAAGAAACTGGCTGACAGCAATTTACATGACAACTCAGTATTGCCTTTAGTATCAAATATTCCATACAATAACTTTATTAAAAAAAAACAAAAAACAACAAACCTCCACCTTACCTCAACACAAATTTGTCCAAATCTCCATTTCCCCTAGGCTCCATTATAATACTGAGATCAGTAATAGCAGCAGATACATTTCCTTTGTTCTAGATAAGGAACAACACAGTATGTTAGAAATTTCTCTAGCATGGAGAAATAAAGGTATCTATTTGTATATAAAATAAAAATATATGCAAATGCTACCAAGTAATACAATCCTTAAAATGGCATTTTTTTTAAGCTACAGCTTATATGTGCGGACAATTTCTTTCATTTCAACAGCATCAATATTATTCATGCAATAAGGTTTTGGAATAATAGCTGAACTTGTCAGCATTGAGAAAATATAAAAAAGGTCTTCCTTTATATCTGGTATAAAAGAGCTTCATCTAATTCCTTTCCTATCACTTCCACTTCTTTAAGATTCTAATTTTCCAGCAAAATCCCTGTCACATATACCAGAAAATGAAAATATAAGGTTTCATCTGAAAGCCATAATAATGCTACCCTAAATTTGAAAAAATAAAATAAAAATTAAAAAATCCTGTTAGTTTTCCTTTTATTTTTTATTTTAAAGCCTGTAGTTTTGCCCCAAATTCCATGTTTTTACAGTAATAACTATTATTTGGGGATATGTGCGTGACAGTAAAAATAAAATGTTTCTAAATATTTAACAGCCTACCAAAATAAAATAAAGACATTCATATAGTAGAAATGAAGCCACAAAAAACTTAATTATTGTTTCTACACATTCTTGAAGACACCAGAGTAACAGGTTAGATAACAGTGAATGAAACAGTTTACAATAATGGCTTGAAGACTATAGCAAATGCTTCACTTTCTACTGGAGACATTGTACTTTATTTTTCTTATACCCAGTCACCACAAGCAAATGGGAATGGCAACGGAAACTAAGTAGACAAGCAGGATATGAAAACATATATAGCAATCTTCATCACTGACATGGACAGTGGGATTGAGTGCGCACTCAGCAAGTTTGATGATGACACCAAGCTGTGTGGTTCGGTTGATATGCTGGAGTTAAGGAATGCCACCCGGAGGGACCTCAACACGCTTGTGAGGTGGGCTGATGCCAACCTCATGAAGTTTAACCATGCCAAGTGCAAGGTCCTACACCTGGGTTGGAGCAATCCCAGGCACAGCTACAGGTTGGGCAGAGAAGAGATTCAGAGCAGCCCTGCGGAGAAGGACTTGGGAGTGTTGGCTGATGAGAAAATGAACATGAGTCAGCTTCAGTGTGCGCTTGCAGCCCAGAAAGCCAACCATATCATGGACTGCATCAAAAGCAGCGTGACCAGCGGGTCAAAGGAGGTGATCCGGCCCCTCTGCTCTTGTGAGACCTCACCTGGAGTACTGTGTGCAGTTCTGGTGCCCTCAACATAAAAAGGACATGGAACTGTTGGAACAAGTCCAGAGAAGGGCCACGAGGATGATCAGGGGACTGGAGCACCTCCTGTATGAGGACAGGCTGAGGAAGTTGGGACTGTTCAGCCTGGAGAAGAGAAGGCTGCGTGGAGACCTCAGAGCAGCCTTCCAGTATCTTCCAGTATCTGAAGGGCCTGTAGGTATGCTGGGGAGGGACTCTTCATTAGGGACTGTAGTGACAGGACAAGGGGTAATGGGTTAAAACTTAAACAGGGGAAGTTTAGATTGGATATAAGGAGGAAATTCTTTCCTGTTAGGGTGGTGAGACACTGGAATGGGTTGCCCAGGGAGGTTGTGAATGCTCCATCCCTGGCAGTGTTCAAGACCAGGTTGGACAAAGCCTTGTGTGAGATGGTTTAGTGTGAGGCATCCCTGCCCATGGCAGGGGGGGTGGAACTAGACGATCTTAAGGTCCTTTCCAACCCTAACTATTCTATGATTCTATGATCCTATGATTCCATGATTCTGTGAATCCCTAGTACTGGTTGGACAGGAATGCTGCTAACACTGCCATCACTAAGAAAAAGGAAAAAGCAAAGCTAAACACTACGAAGTTTAGTGGATTGAGTAAGTAACATCAGAAAAAATCATTTTAAATTTTGAGCAAAAAGTTCAACACATGCATGGAGTTATAGAAAAGTTGCTAGTAGCCAACAGACTAACACACTACCTTCTGAATAAACTGGCTTTCCAATAAGCAGGTCAAATGATAAGATTCAAAAGGAAAGCGCTTAAGCAGGAAGCAACTCTTACTTGAACAATTACTTTCTCAAGGGGTTTATACACGTTTTGGCAGATTTTCAAACAAATTGTATATGTCCTCTCCTAATACCTAAGGACAGTATGAGAGGAAAATAAATAAAACAATGCTTTTGCATTAGCCCGCTTTCCTCATTCACATTTTGATCTTTGTAAACATTCACCTATGCACAACGGTGAGCAGACAGGAGCTTCTTAGTTTGCACTCAAAGCTGGCAAAACACTAGTTTTCTTGCAAAGATAAACTACACATTAATCTGACTGTGCCAAAACTGTACATCTCAGCTGGTTCTTTAGTATGTCAGGCAGTCAAGGACCAGTACTACAGTAATACAGACACAATCTCAACCATTTAAAGCTAGTCAGAGTGAACTCTGATCTGCACACCATTCTTTATACAACTGTATCCTGGAATACAGCTTTTAATGTGAATGACATTTAACAATTTAAGATCAAATTAGAGAATTATCCTTTCTCTTCTGCCGCATACTAATGTGTTTGTTACCTACTAAGCATTTAAAAAAAAAAAAAAACAAACACAAAAGCTGTCATCTTTTATTTCTTAAGATGGGTGAAACTACCTGCAACCTTACACTAGCTTGCCGACACTGATCTCAGTACAGGTTGTTTTGAATACAACCATTAATGCCATTATTTTTGAAAACATGTCTCTCCATTTTTATACACAAGAAGAGGCACTGAAAAAAATTTTCAGGTCCTAGTCTGGCCTGAAGTCACAACTTTACTGAGAGCTATGGAGGCAGACTCCTGCACCCACAGAGGACCTACTGATCTGAAGTGTTTTTTTTCTAAATATATACGCTTGGTATTCTACATGCCCCCTACTCCAGCATACGCCATCAGCGCTGAAATACTACAAGTTCCAGGTACTACCTAGACAAGTGCTGCCATCAAGTGGTGCAATAGATTTAAGCAGCACCAATGTACCTCTGAATTTACATCCAGTAAATTTACATCATCCGATCTAGATTGACAGTAAAAGATGTCATCACTCTGCAGGAGCATACAGGTGAGATATAAATATCAATCTAACCAAGTAGCATGATTGATGTGAGCTATTTCCATGCTCAAATCTAAATACAGTTTTATACGAGAACATGGTAAAATAATATCACAAGTTTCAAGTCATTCATGGACTTAAGAGATTGCAAAATAACCTCATTCATCTTATGCCATCCACATGTGACTATTTAAATATTAATATCCTAAATTCATATTATGGCTTTTCTTAAGATTAGAAAGGACAGCTTTACACAGCAAGGCAGCTTTTAATACTATTAAGTTCAATCACATTCAATTTAAAAAATACCTTTAAAGCTGAGCTGAAAACCAAGTTTTCAGGAGAAGAAAATTTCCTGATGTCAAAAATACTATTAAAAATTAGGGTATATTATAAGAATTCGGGATAGCAGCTGTTTTCCACTGCTATCATTTCGAATTCTGTCCTAAGAATAGATTATCATGAAAGAGCTTCCCTGCAAAAAAAAAAAAAAAATCTGTATTTAGTGCAACTTCTGTGCAGTCCTGTAATGTAATGGCTACCGACACTAACCAAGCAAATTACAAGTATAACTGAAGCAAAGAAAAAATTTTCAAGTTTGTAGTGTTTAAGCTTTTCCTCAGTTTCCTCAAGAGAGGTAAGGTTTGAAATTTTCCAGTCTCTAGAACAAGATACCTGACTGCAGAATGTGCTGGGGGGAGATCAGAGACAGCTGTGGGATGAAAGCCATACTGGGTCAGGACAAGGCAGCAGCAGGTATTTGGCAGAGTTAGTGGAAATCCAGTGCTGTTCAGGGCTTTACTTCAATGTTAGACTGCAACAGCATCCGGCAGGGTGCATGTTTTGGGAAGAAAGGGTGATTTGGACTTGGCAGTGTTAGGTTTATGGTTGGAAGGTCTTTTCCAGCCTAAATGATTCTGTGATAAGGATTTCACAACTGAATGCTGAACCTGACCTTCAGAACTATTTTGCTTGAATGCACATGGAATTCAAAAGTTGGGTCCAGCTGCTTCAGGTTGAAAGCAACCTGAAAAGCAACTGAGGCTTTGGTTAAGGAGACTCGGGCAATCAAAATGACAAAATACCATTTTCAGATAGAAAAGGAACTATTGACACTAGTCCATTTGAAGTTCTGGTTGGTTGCTTGGTGGTTGTTGGGACTTTAGGTGTTCATTGATCCTTACCTGCATTTCAAGAAGCTGGAATTCCAATTGAAAAGACAAGGAGCAGCAATTCCCTGATAATCTGTGCTTCCTCACCATTTTGTTTCTAGCTGTTGTAAAACAAAGTTAATACTTGATCAGATTTCCAATACAACAACTATTGCATCTCTTCCATTAGTCATAGTACCAACTGATAACATCCATCACATAAAGAAATCAAGTTAAACATGTTTAAAGAAACCAAATCTAACTTTACAGTAGTCTTTCACTCTCCCACTATGGAAAGTACTATATTTACTCAAAAACTACTTGGCAGTAGAGAAAATTCTACAGTATTTCAAAATAATTGTCTTTCTGCTAACATTGAAAGTAGAATTACAACATGCATTTTCAAATGTAATGAACAGAAACAGTATGCTCAATATAGCACCAGAAAAGGGCACAAAAATGCTTACTCCTTTCCAGTGTTTTCTTGGAATGACCTGTAAACTGAATACCAGTAAGTTTCATTAAAAATGAGAGACGTGTTTCTAGACTTTCAAGTTCAGCTTTCAGGTCTGTTGCAGATTCATGTCCCTCAGATTCTCCCCAAAGTTCACTTTGGAATGATTTTCTAGAATTGAGGAAAAAAAAAATAAAATAATCAATAGGGCAAAAGACCAAGACATAAGAAAATGTTTTGTCACATCAGTACAGCAATACAATTTAAAAAAAAAAGCACTTCTAACATGATCTGACTGTTTTCTGACCAAGATCAGTTTTCAATAAGCCACATTTCAGATGGATCACATTACTAGGAACAGTAAACTATCTTAACTTTCATAAATAGTTATGTGTCCTATCATACAGACATAGCCTTTATTGTAAATCTTGAGATACAAGTATCTATTTTAAGGAATGCACAACAAAAACGAGCTGTGATGTCTTTACTGCCTAAATTACTTATTTTAGATATGGAGTGTATATTTACTGTAGATTATCAGTTAAATAATGGAAATAAAAAGGCAAACATGGCATTTTCTTAGGATACGTCTAGTCACACCTGTCCATCTCCCCAGTTCCAATCCCCATCTTCCCACCCTTTTTTTTTTAATTAAATTGGCATTGAGCTGTTTCACAGTGCATAATGGAAAACATGGCCTTTGCAGACAACAACTTTGCAAGGCCTGCACAGCAATGTACCTGATGTCATGATCTGACCACTAAAATTGCCTTTCAGAAAACAAACAACAAAACCCTAAACCCCCACAAACTACCAACAGAAGACAGTAAAGAGAGATCAACTATTTATTACTTGTGATCTTTTACCATATGTAGGACATGATCTAAACAAGATAAGCACTATAAAAATAACAGAAGGAAAGTCCTAAGAGAAGCAAAAGCTTATCCTAAATAATTTTGACAAAGAAACATTAATCCAACATGTGAGAAAAAAAAGCTTACATTGACATTAATATCTCCTCATCAGAAAAAAAGGTGGATTCCTGTTGGCTATCTTCATACTTTTCAGCCAATAGTTCAATTTCCACTTTCAGTGACTGGATTTCATCTTCATAAACTTGACAAACATCACTGTCCATTTTTCAGAATCAATGTTACTAGATAAAACAAAATAAATGTCCTAGAAGAAAATAATCCATATTCAAAATAATTTTTTGTCCAATGAATTAAGAAACTCAAATATAACATTAGACAATTGTTTTTCCCACCCCTCTACTTGAGTCAACTCTATTATTTTATGAATTTAGAGAACTGAAGAATTGTTAAATACAGTTTTTAAATATCCCAGGTAGCTTCAACAAGTACAATAATTTATACCCTCATAAAGAATTCTAAGGTGTCAAAACACTGCTGCCTACGCTAGAAGATAACACAAACATATAAACCTTGATCCTCAGCAACCACATTTGACAGAAATTGTACCACCAACTTGAAAACAGAATTAGGCTTGCAGTAAAACTCTGCTCTTAACACTACACTACAGCACTCTGCAATCAGTGTAACTCTTACTTAAAGCCTAGAAAGCCCACTTAGAAAGACACATTACAAGACCAAAAAAACCACTTGTTCCATAATTCTGAATGCAAAAAAGTTCCTTAAAAAAATGGTAGCTCACTCTAAAAGCATCATGAACCGGAAAGATTCCACCTCCAGTGGATACAGGCAGCTACTACGTAGCAGCAAGACTGTGAAAATGAACATATTTCTGACTTCACCTAAAAGAAACAAGAAAAAGTTTCCTCCAACATAGACAGCAATTGTGATAAAAATGTAGCTTGGTTGCATTAGTTTCTCAAAGAATTCATTGAGTCCAAATGTAATTAGTAAGCCAATTCGAAGTCACAGATCACTGCATAGCTTCTAAATACAGAAGTTAAATCAGGAATCTAAAATCGTCACAGACTCTTTAAGAACCTTTTTAACTAACCACAACTTCATCCAGGAGCATATCCAGGTGGTTTAAATTAACAGAGCAAGCAGCTGGACTGCAAATAAAAAACAGTCCTAAGATGCTACAGAAACAGAATCCAGCTTTGACCACTTCACCTAATGATGCATCTGATTAAATGAAGCACACCTGCTCCTACTAACACAACAGCATAATCTGTCTTTCAAGTAAACAGCAATAAAGAGACACAAACAAACAGCTACATTTAATTAATAATTGAAGACAAACCTAAATTTTAAGAAAAAAAATAAAATCTAATTTTCAGCCTACACATAACGCATTCAAAGGCCTGTGGAAAATGTTGTGCAACTCCATACCAATGTACCTTTCACCTAGGAAAAAAAACCTCAAAAGAAAAAAAAGGAAGGAAAAAAAAAAGGAAGGAAAAAAAAAGGAAGAAAAAAAAAGGAAGGAAAAAAAAAGGAAGGAAAAAAAAAGGAAGAAAAAAAAAGGAAAAAAAAAAAAGAAAAAAAAAAAGGAAGAAAAAAAAAGGAAGAAAAAAAAAGGAAGAAAAAAAAAGGAAGAAAAAAAAAGGAAGAAAAAAAAAGGAAGAAAAAAAAAGGAAGAAAAAAAAAGGAAGAAAAAGAAGGAAGAAAAAGAAGGAAGAAAAAGAAGGAATCTAGTTTTACATGTGGCTTTAAACAACTGTATTTGTAAGATCCACACTAAATGGTTCAACAAAAATACATGGGGGGGGGGGGGGGGGGAACAGGATTTTGTTGGTTTAGGTCATAAGAAACAGCACCTGAATAACACATATAAGAAAACATGACAAATGTTTAAATTTAAAATATGCTCATTTAATAAAGCATATACAATTAGAGAACCACTGACATTGTAACTGCCTCTGAAACTTTAAAGCAACCTTTTGCAACGTGTGAGTACAAACAATATCCATGGGGACACGAAATGGAAGCTCAAAACCTCTAATGTATCCTATTAAATTAGGATTTTTTAAGTGGATGCATTGAAGAAAGTTTTGGTGATAATAAAGAGTACATTGAGAAAAAGAAAGACATTACAATAACCAGAACTTTACCACAGACTGTCAGTAATTCCATTTTTAACAGTCGTTTTGAAAACGGTAACAAAACACATATGTTGCTTCCACGTATTTACCTTAAGAGATTATACTACAGTGCATAAGACTCAAAGACTAATTATGACCTCAAAAACAGCGTAAAATCACACTTAACATGCATAAAACAAAAAAAAAAAACTTTAATGACAACCATTTCTCCTCGAGTGAAACACACACACATACATACCGATACGTTAACGGCAAACATTTCACATCTCTACGTACCTGCCCGTGTACACCGCTAGGTATTTATTTCTACGCTGTTACAACGAAAGCTTGAACCAGAATTCAATAGCCTGTAAGGATGGAGCTGCCGAGGTGCAGCGCTTCCCGGCTTTGCTCCTACCCCCTCACGTCCCACAGGGCAATGACGGGAAGCGGCCCTGGCTAGCAGAGCCAATACTGCTGCCGCCGCCCGCCGCCTCAGGACCCAGCTCCAGGGCTCGCGGCCCCCCGGCACCACCACGCAGACCCCGCTCAAACTGCACTAAATCCGCGCGCAACACGCGCTTCGAACTGCCCAACCACCCGCCGCCGCCTGGCCAGTACCACTACGGCTGCCCAGGCGAGGGGCACCGTCCGCTCTTTCATATTCCCCCCCCCCCCCGGAAACACAGGCACTGCAACACCAGATCCAGAGTTCGCTGTTCAAAACGGTGCCATAAGCGCTGTTTTGTCAGGCAGCTCCGTAGTCTCTGTTGGGTTTTTTCCTTAGTGTCTTGTGGAAACTCCCCCTCCTTTCCTCTTAGTTCCTTCCGCGGTCCCCAGACCCAGCCCTTGTGTTCTCTCCACACTGCTCCGGTCGACAACGAACAGATGAGCGTGGCCCGGCGGCTGCAGCTGCCGGACCCTTTTTCCCCGGGGCGACAGGAAGAGCTGCAAGGAGGAAGATAAATTGAATGGAGCTACGAGGGCTTCGTTTCTGCCCAGGCACTCATGCAGATTGGCAGCTGCATTCTCAACTGCAGATTTAGTCAGGAGGTGGTGTAACTGGTGCACGTACCACAGGGTTGCTCTGTGTTCCTCTACGGCTTTTTAGGTCAGCGTGGAGCATTGCATTGGTGCTGTGCTCCTGCCCTGCTGGCACATGGTGCCCAGCGCACACACTAGAAATACAAGATCTGCTGGTTTAGAGATCTCCACTGGGCTCTCTGGTCTGTGTTCACAGAGTGGTTGCGATAAACACATAAATGTATTGATGCGTGGATTGACTCCACAACTCGTTGAAGTTGTAAAGTAGGTATACTTTTTTATTCAGCGCTGAGACGCACGGGGATAATTCCTCAAAGTCATGCGTGCGTCAGTGTTGTTTCCCTCTACATTTATTCTCTAAAGTTACATATATTCATAAGGTTGCACAACACGCCTATACATATTCATGTCCTATCCCCGCTTCGTATTATAATGAGCCAGAAGGTCCTCTGCGCCTGCGCAGTGCCCCCTCTGGTCATGGTCAGGGGTCTCAAGATGAAGTAAATGAGTCTTCCTCCTCTGGGTAGGGGTCTTCAAGATGAAGTAAATGAGTCTTCCTCTTCTTGCACTTTTCACCTTTTTAGTCTTCACGTGTGGCCTTACAGTTTGGTCAGTGTCCCAGCCATAAATCATCTGCTTCTCCCCTTTATGAGTAGACTCAGGCGTCTGCTTTATCTGTAGATTCAGGCATCTGCTTTTCCTTATCAACAGGACCGGAGGTCTCTGTTCTGCTTAGCAGGCATTTACAACAGATCGTACTTTTGTTTAAGCAAGCAAATTCCTCTAACCCCCTTGTACAACCCCCCCCTCTACATTGGTCAACTCTCTGCATCAGTACTGGCTTTCGCAAATCATAGGTGTGGTTATGTGGATATAACTGTACCAGTTTACAATAGCAGAAACAAAACACGCTAAAGACACTAGACAAGAAGTTAAAAAGGTTCAGATCTCTTGATGTAAATGGAGTCACATAGCAAAAGAATTTGTAAAGGTAAGAGAAGTTGGGGGGTGAAGCTTGGTATAAGGAAGGCTAGTGCCTGGAAAACATAAAGTACTGTTTAGCTTAACTTAGGCTGTAGAAAGAGAACAATGTTTATGTTGTAAGTCTGTGGGATGTCGTGGCCCCACTTAAACATGAGTTAATTGTTTCACGCTGGTCTTCTAAAGTATCTTTAGCTTTAAAGAACAATGTTTGTGTTGTAAGTCTGTGGTAAGATAACAGGATTTAGTGGCCCCACTAAATATGAATGAGTTATTTCACACCATCCTTCTACTTATCAGTTAGTTTAGAGACAGAACCTCCCAAACATTTGGTAGCTTGGGATACTCCTTGTCTACCCATCCTGCAATAACGTTACACTGTTTTAAATCTTTGCTAGTTAATAGAAGAATTACAAATATAGCTGGTTTCAGCTACTTGTGTGATTACTGGGGCGTCCAACTGTGCCAAAGGTGAAAAGTACACTGTGAGGAAGACTGCTTACTTCATCTTGAAGACCCCTACTCACAAGAGGAAGACTGCTTACTTCATCCTCAAGACCCTTGCCCACAATCACCGGAGAGCAGTGCACAGACGCCAAGAGGAGGAGACTTATGATAATAAGTTCCTGGAGCTAGTTATAATATTCCCCGCCTATACACAGGAATTATGAATATGTATGTGACTAATGCAATAGTGAAAGTATATAAACCTGTAACAAATACTAATCACTCGCGCCTCTGGCTACGGTCACACGCCCAGTGCTGTTGCTTTTGATTTATTGACTTTGTCCCTCAATAAAACCTTGTTATCTCATTTAGAGGAGTGAGCTCGTATTTTATATGCTTGTATTTTGGAGGGCATGCCCATGTGGTGTCTAAGGCTGAACTGCAAGAAAGATTGGGCAAATTTGGGCGTGTGTTGGATACGGAGATTATTACCAGACAGGTTAACAGCGTAACAGCTTTGTGTCATTTTTTAAAAGTACTCGGAACCATTCTTTTAAAAGGGAATTGGTTTTCAATTTGTTGTGTGAAACTTTTTTTCGTTTGCATGGTTTTGGGGGGGGTTTGAGTTTGTTTTTGTGTGTGTGTGTGTTTTTGTTTTGTTTTTGTTTTTCCTTATGGCACGCTTTATTCT